TGCACTGCCCATCCATTCACACTGTTCTTCTCCCATGTTCCCTCCCACGGCCTTTCTCTGTTCTGGCCCATTGGCTCCCACACCCCGAGACCTCCATCCTTGCACCAGGGCTTGTTCCTGCTCCATCTCCCCAGTCTGGCAAATGAGAAGACACCTTTATGTCTTGGTATTCCCAGGGTTTGCTGATAAATGCTGTCTCCACAACCCCAGCCTTCACTGACTCGTTATCAGGACAAGCACTGCTAGGAAGCGACCCATGACCCTGCCCAGGGAGGTCCCAAGGGAAATGCCCTTATCAGCTCTTTCTAAAAGCTTCCCTTTTCAACATGACAGAGGAGTCATGTCCAAGAAATATCCAAATAGAGATGGGGCAGGGTAAGGTGCAGCGTGCTGTGGCCAACAAGGGATTCTTTTGCTGTTTGCTGAGTGGGGCTGAGGCTGGGAGGAGCATCCCTCCCATTGGAGGGGCCAAACACTGTGGCAGTGGGTCTTCACACTCTGCCTTGATGGGCCAACCTGCTCCATGCAGATGGATTTCCCAGCTTCATGCCTGGGGTTATCAGGGAAACAGACAGCAGATAAGAATATCTGGGGCAAAAGGAGTGGTGGGAATGTCTTGGGGGGCTGCATGCAGACTCACTCAACTGTGGGGTTTCCCCTCTGAAAGGGAGGCTGGACTATAACTTCTCCTCCAGTGAGCTCTGTTCAACCGTCAAGGATGATCCATTCTTCTTTTCCTCTAGAAGCCACCTTTCAATCCAGCCTCATCTTTATATAGGTGACATGTTGAGGCATTGCTGTCCCATTTTCCCTCTGTGTCACCTCTCCATTGGAGCAATCAACTGTGTATAGTATTTCTGCTACCAAAAGGCATGGTTGGGTTCAGGTGCCAACAATGAATTTTGGAGGCCACTCTCTAGCTTGGCCTCCCATCCCTTTTGACACATCAGCTCGTCCATTTTGATTGGCAGGCAGATGGACTGTGTGGGTTGCTGGTCCTACTCTAGCTCCCTACTGGGGATTAGCAGGGATGGGCTCTTGCAGGATCCTGGATGTCACTGACTTCCCACCTTTGATCAGGAGTCGGCATTCCTGAAGTGCTCCATCTCCCACATGTTGCACTGATCAAAGGCAGCTGTTGCCTGGACCCTCCCATGAGCCCATTTGCACACAACTAAAAATACAGAAACACGAAGGAAACCAAAGGAGGTGGGAATTGTGATGGATGGAGGAGAGAGAGGACAAGGGACAGCAGCAGGCGGAACCCTCATAGAGTGTCCCATATGCAGACACCAGGAGGATGCCAGTAAGCCTTAGTGGGTCAGGAGAGATGCTGAAGTCTGGCTTGGGGCCTTATCTGCCACCTGAAGGAAATGCTGTCATTGCTGGATGGCAGTAATTGCTTGGATCGGGAGCAGCTGCATGGCCAGCAGGATGCAGCCAACATCTCTCGTGGCTTGGTGGGTTCAGTAGGGATGTCAAGTGATCTTAGCCTTAAAGCTGATCCCTTAGCCTTAAAGAAGTTTGTTTGCACAATGCTAAGGTCTCCTACAGTCTCTCTGGAGGACCATAAGTTGACTTCTGCTTGGTTGATATGTTGCTGGAGTCCTGTATACCTGAATCTCTATGTCTGAATGCCCCATGGCAACCCTGGTTGGTGCCTGGGGCTCCTCTGAGCTCTCCCATCCTTATCCATCCTCTCACCTGTCTACTTGTTACTCAGAAATACAATTTAGCTTTCAGACTCCAGAAAGACACATTCTGCTTCAAAGTTGCAGATAGGAAGTGCAGAAATCAGGACCACAGGACACATTTGCCGACCATGAAGCAGGCAAGCCCAGGTGACAATTTGTCTGGATGAAAGGTGAATTCTGCCCATGGTGATGCTGCAGCAATCAGCAAGCAGGAAAACATCCTCTCCATGTAGCAGAGGATCTGCCCACTCTGGGTGATGCCCTTCAGCAAGGCAGCATGTTCTGCTTTTCCTATGGGCTCCATCTTCTTGTGCAGTCCGAGGGAGATGGATTCATTGGGCACCACACCTCCAAGATCTTGATGTCCTTCCTCTAGGATCAGGTCAGTTTGCTGATTTGAGGTGGTTCCAGCCATCTCTGCTCCGAAAGATGCAGGCTGGAGCTGACTGCAGCAAAATCAAACTTAGGGCAGCATTTCCAGCAAAGCTGTTCCTGAAATGTTCTCTGCATGCTCAGAGTGCCTATGCAGCAAAAGGAACTGGTGATTGTTGCTGGGTCATGCTCATCTTTGTCCTTGCTAGTACTTGTGGGTTTATTAAATTAGGTGAAAAAGGTCCTCAGCCAGCTCATAGCCCACTGTGGGAACACCCTGAGGCTGAATTTTGCTCATTACCCACATCTAGAAGAAAAGGGAGGGAGTGGAATACTGCCAGGGAAGCTGAGCACCTCCATTACCTGATGTCCTCCAGGGCTGCAGGCATGCTCAGCACCCCTGCACAGGCTCAGGCACCCTAGAATTCCTAACAGCATCCTGCTCTTGGTCCAGTGAGGGTGACCCCGGCTCAAGAAACCCTCAGCTGCCCTGCACTAGCTGTAGACAAAGTGCCCCTGCTCAGACAGGCATGAAGGGCTGCCCTCAGCTGTGCTTGTCCTTCTCAGGCAGGACTGGCGCAGCCAGGGTGGGCAAGCTGTGGGTGACCAGGGGCAAACATCTGGTGCCCTTTTGGACACATGACAAAAAGAAGCATCTCTCCAAAACTGTGCTAGGCTTTGCATCTGACCCCTTCTTGTATCCAGGGATGGACAGGACCTGCAGCAGCAGCTTCTTCCTTTCTCTCCTCCAGCCCTGCTTCCCAAAGTTCAGCTTCTTGGCTGCAGGCAGCCCATAGCAGTGTTTTACAGCAAGGTGACCCCTGCTCTTTGGTGCTGTGCAAGTCCCTGTCCGTCCTGCTGTTGAGCGTTCACCAAACACATTGTGACAGCTCAGCTGGAACCACGCAGGGACCGCGTCTTCTGCTGTTGGCGGTGGGCTTGGACAGAGCACTAGTCACCCCCTGCCAGGCACTGGAGGACCTTGGAGGAGGGGGTGAGGGGGCAGGCAGTGCCTGGATCCTGGCACTACCGTGACAGCCCTACACAGAGCTTTCGGCAGGGATAGGAAAGTAGCCCTGCTCCTCTATCTGCAGACACCCAGGCTGTAGATTGATGGCACATCAATTTTGCTGGGTGCGTTGCCCACTGGGTACCCTCCTGAATTTGACTGAATGCAATCCCCCGAGGCATGTGCATGGGATCATCTAAGAGCAAAAAACAGGGTGCATTCAGTCTGTTTCTGAGGCTGCTCTGGTGTAGTTCAGTGGTTGAGTTGTTTGACCTGCACCCCGTGCTATGCAACACCCAGTCTGTTCCCTACCCACACCGTGTGCCAGCAGCAAAAGGGCTAAAGATGGTCCTTAGGACAGATATTCAAGCACTGCAAGCTGCTTTACAAAGTATCCTTTGAACCTTCTCAAGCTAGGGCCTCAGGTTCCCTCCCACCTGCCTGGGGCTGGGGTCTCTCTTCAGAAATAAGCCTGCCTTGGGGCTTGCTTTGCAGGATCTTTCCTCGCTGATACAGCCACCTATTTCTGATGCCCCAGAAATCTCAGGTTTTGCCAGAGCAAAAAACCTTCAAAAATAAAAGTTGTTCTAGCTTTCACACTTGCAAACATAAAAACTGGATCTGGAGGCATTCTTGGGAGTAAAATGAGCAAAGGAAATCAACTACAAAGTCGGTGTTTTTTAAATCTTGTGCTTCTGTAGATATATCACTGCATCTGGGGAAGCTAAAATATGTTATTACTAAAGAAGGAGGGTTAGCAAAGATGTATATTACTGTGGTTCTGGCAAAAGCTATGTTTCCCCATGGGTACTGAGGCAGCCTGGAGCTCAGCTGTGTGGAGGACATGTCGCTGTGCCACCCGGAGCTGGCTTTTTGTGATTTGAGCCCCCTCAGAGGGGGCACAGATACAGCAGAAAGATACTGGGAAAGAGCAACCCCTATTGCAGGAGGAGCTGCTGGGAGAAACTGCAGCTCCAGGTGAGGCTGGGGCAGGAGATGTCCTGCATGGCACAGATCAGCTGGTCGCTGCCTGGTGGCAGCTCCGTCCCAGCAGTGCCTGCTTAGAAGGACAAGGACAGAGCTGTCCTGGGCACAGCGTGCTGAAGCCGCGCCCGCCGGCGGCCACAAGCAGCAGGTGAGAAGGAGATGAGTAGGGATAGAGGGGGACAGACATCCCAGCGAGGACAGGAGTGACAAGGGCACGGTCTGGATGTGTCAGTGATGGTATGTAGGGCCCTGTCAGTGCCAGCCTGTGTCCCAGTGAGAGGCTGACAGCCTGGCAAGGACGGCAGCAGAGGGCAGGAGCAGCAGGCCCTGCGCTGACATCTCATGCCGACCCCTGTGAGGAGCAGGGCAATAGGAGCAGGCACGTCTCCTCCCAGGCTGCAGGAGGAAGGCTTCATGCTGCGCGCTTTCCCATAGAGCAGAGCAGCAGACGGCCATCCTGAAGCATCCCGCTCTCTCCTTTCTCCTGTGCACTAAGCTTGTCCATCCCTCCAGTTCTTCTTCCCTGGAAATGCAGGTGTTTCCCTTCCTGCTCACCTGGGTTTATGCTGCTCTCCCCAGCTACACTCCTGCTCTCTAGTCCTGGTGGGATGCAGAAGGGCCCTTCTGCCATACACTGCCAGGGTTCAGGGGATGGGGAAGCAGAGCAGCACTGGGCCCAGCAGCAAGCCCAGCACCACCTCCATCACCACCACCCGCACTTCTTCCTGCGGGCAGGGCTGGAGCTGCGCAGGAGTTGAGCCTCCTCTTGCAGACGAAGCCCTCCGCACGAGGCTGAGCTGCGCGGTTGGAAGCGAGAGGAGCCGTTGCCCAGTTCCGCCCCGTTGCTAGGGCCCGTTGCTAAGGCCCGTTGCTAGGGCCCGTTGCTAGGGCACGCCGCCAGGCACCGCCTCATCGCGCCTGCGCGCTGCCTCTCCGTGCTCACGTGATGCAGCGGGAAGATGGCGGCGCCCAGGGGTGGCGTGCGGGACTCTGAGGCGGGTTGGGCCTAGTGTCGTGTTCTGTCGGGCTGCTCTCTGTTGCCGACATGTCTCGGCTCATCGTGAAGAACCTCCCCAACGGGGTGAGTCTGTCTGCGACCTTTGTATGACAGCGTTCTGGGCCCAGGAAGAAAGATGAATCTGATGGCTGCTGGGATGAGAGAGGGCCGGGGGAGGAGAGGTGCCTCACGGAGAGGTCTGGGGAGGGGCGCACGGGGCGAAGAGCAGGTGGAGGTTCTGGGGGAGCGGGCGTTTTCCGGGAGAGATGGCCGTTGGTGGTTATGAGTTGTGGAGGTGCCCTGAGGCCTTGTGGAGGAGCGAGGAGCTGCCCTGGGGATGGAGGGCTCTGCATGAAGAACGATTCGGGTTCTGTGGGGTCAGGAGGTACCCTGCAGCTGCTTCCCAGCCCATGCCTCTGCACCCCGGGCACATTCAGCAGCTTCTAAGGTGGAGGAGAGGGGTAGTTTGTGGCTCCCTATCTTTCCCTTGTTCCCAGGGAGGCAGGAGAGGTATGAACGGTGCTGCTCCCTCCTGGGGATACTGAAAGTTACCTGTGGGTGGGCTGGATGCTCCACAGAGGGCATCCCAACACCTGGGTGCAGCTTTTAGTTATGGAGGTTTTGTAGGCACAGAAGCATACGTGTAAGGAATTCATGAATAAGAGGACAAACTTTCATAGCTGACATGCATTTCTTATCAGCCTTGCCACAACATAGTGAGATTTCTTCAGAAGTCCTCTGTGTTAGTAAATGTTTTGCTTTAGACTTATCTGTAAAACATCTCTATAGTTAAGTTGCTGACCTGCCTTCCTTTTCTCCTTCCCTTCTCCAGATGAAGGAAGATCGCTTTCGGAAGTTGTTTGCAGCCTTTGGCACACTGACTGATTGTTGCTTGAAGTTCACCAAGGATGGTAAGTTCCGGAAATTTGGCTTCATTGGCTACAAGTCTGAAGATGAAGCTCAAGCAGCACTGAGCCATTTCAACAGAAGTTTCATAGACACCTCCAGAGTCACTGTGAGTTGATATCTAAAAATACCTTCTTTTGATTCTTAAGAAACTTAGTCACTGGGGGATTTGATAGTCTTACAGATGAACACCTGAGGGCTAGAAAAGTCTGAAGACTTTTGCAGCAAAACTCGATCCCTGGAGGCATCCAAGGCCAGGCTGGATGTGGCTCTGGGCAGCCTGGTCTAGCAGCTGGCAGCCCTGCCCACGGCAGGGGGGTTGAAACTCAATGATCCTTTTCAACCCAGGCCATCCTATGATACAGTTCTATGAAAACAGCAAAGCTTGATGCCAAGACTGCTGCTGTTTCAGGCAGGTACTTGATACGAATGGACTGTCTTCTATGCACTAGCAGTGATTTCAACATTGGTTGGAGCAAATGTCAGGTTTTGAGCTGTAATAATCTGAACTTTTTGAGCTGTAATAATCTGAATTTTTGAATTTGAGCTTATTTTTTCTTTCGTTTAAAGTGATTCATCTTACTGTACTAGATAGGAATTTTCATTCATTATAAGCGGGAGAGCTTATTTGATTCTCTGTAATTGAGTGTAACAAACTCCCATTTTGAGTAAGTATGAAGCTGTATACTTCTAGAAAGAACATCCTTAACCTACACCGTCCATTTTGTCTGGATTATAAGAAAGATTCTTTATTAAGATGCATCCTGCAGTTTCAGAACAAGACTGTTGAAGATGAGTTTAATTAAAAATTTGATTTTTTTTCTTCTCAGGTTGAGTTATGCAAGTCTTTCGGTGACCCTTCAAAGCCCAAAGCATGGAGTAAGCACTCTCAGAAAGTCCCTGCCTTGGAAAAGCAGCTTGAGAAACCTGTGACAATTGCAGATCATGCAAGCACAAAAAAAGTAAGTCTTGCTTTTTTCCTTGAAGATCTGACACGTGTCAGTGACTTGGCAGAGAGAAGGGTAGCCTGGCATGTAGAAAAGGGGACAGCTGATGTTGGAGTCCTGATTCTGGCATTTTCTGCCTTAGGAAATTTACCTATTTAACCTCTATTGTTAGGTTACCTGAGAACTGTTACTGGCTCTGCTTCTAATAAGGCTTTCTAAAAATGGCTTCTCTTCCTAGGATAAAAAGAAGAAAAATCCATCAGAAAACTTTAAGGAGGTGAGTAGAGTTTCAGTTCCAATGCTTACATTAATGATAAGTTGTATTAAAAGACAGTTGAATAGCCCTTTTCTGTACTGCTTTCACCATTATAAATTCAGTAAGATGTATGATTTAAAGAACTCCATAGCAGTCCAATTCCACTTTAACAAATCATGATTTTAACAATCTCAACACTGAGAACTGATGTGTGTGTGTGTATATGTATATATATTAATTTTTATCTTTTTTTAATCATTAAATACTTCTCAATGAATAAGCACTCTATCCAGGACAGGTCTTTCAACAGTTGTGTCACATGCAAGTTGTGTCATATTTAGTTTGCACACTTTTTTCCTTCTTTAATATTTTCTTGTCTTCTTTAAAGTGTTTTCTAAACATTAAGTACAAGAAGGAATAGGGCTGAGAGACTGACAAGATGTTAGTGACTAAGTGCTCACTTTGTGAGTGTAAAGTGGACTGCTCTTTATGAATTGTTTTTTTTTTATAGTACTGGAAATGAGATTCTTTGAATTTTAACATGCTACTACTTCAGTTTTGTCTTCACATTTTTGTTTTTGTTTGTTTTTTTTTTTTGCTTGGTTTGTTTTTCAACAGCTGGAAGAAGATAAAACATTCCAGGAATTCTTGGTGGTTCACCAGAAACGGTCTCAGGTGGCCACTTGGGCTAATGACACTTTGGTGGAGGAGCCCAAGAAGGAAAAATCAAAGCCAGTGGCTGATTATCTGAACTTTGATTCAGATGAGTCTAAGGATCTGAGTGAGGAGGAGAAGGATGGGAGTGAATCCTCTAAAGATGAGGAGGAAACCAAAGGTACTAAAATGGACTATCACCCTTTGCTTGGTTTGACTTGGTGAATGGGAGAGCAAACATGCTGATGGGACTTGATTCAGTGTCCTGCTTACAGAGAGTATAATCAGAAGGGTAGTTTCCCCATAACTCATGTGTGCATGTGTGCACTGTGGAAGTGCAGATGGCTTCCCCAGTACAGAGAAATTTGGGAAACACTCTTTCTGGTATTCAGGGGATGGCATTTGTGCTTTCTCCTGGGTCATTAATTCAAAGCCTAGGAAAAGTAACAGGGCAGACCTCTCTAATTTGTTTTATATGTGAATTGTTGCTTCAAAGAAAGAAAGAAAGAATCCAGGCATGTTAATGTAGAAGTGCTGGTTTAAAATTGCTCTACTGTTTTCTAGACTTCTTTTTAGGTGGAAAGTGTAGAGTAGAAGGTCATAGTGATTGTGCCTGTCCTCAGCTTTAACTTGGCTGGGGAGAGAGCAGCAGTATCTGTACACAAAACTTCTTTGGTCTCTTCTTTCTGACAGCAAAGAAACAACAGGAGAAGAAGGCAGCTACGAGAGAAGACCTCTCAGATATGGATTACTTGAAATCTAAAGTAGTGAGGGATTCCTCCTCCTACTCTTCATCCAGTACAGAGGAAGAAACAGATAGTGAGGAAGTGGAAGAGGAAAGCAAGAATGAGGAGGATTCAGGCATTACAGAAAATATTGTAAAGAAAAACACAGAAAAAAGGAGAAAGTCAAAACCCCAAGAAGCAGAGCAAGAGACACCAGCAGAGAAGAAGAAAAAAGGATCCACACTAGAGGTAGAACTGAATTACACTTTTATCACGCTTAAAGCAGGAGCTTCGTGGAAGAGTAGGTGTGTGTTGGTCACTCCAGGGATGTAATTGAAAGCTTGAAGTCTGTGAGACCCCTGGGTACCAGCTTTTTTGGCTTACTGAGTCGGACCCATTTAAAAAATGGGTTTGTCAGATCTCCTCTCAATGCTAGTTAAATTCCTTTTTCTGGAAAACAGAACTTCCTAAGAGGTAGTATTCGTGCCTCTTTCATAGGCTTTTCTCTCTTCTTATGTATGTCTGCAGGGAATACTTTTGCAGAGCTTGTTTTTAGCATCTGGGTTTGATCATCCCAGTCAGACTTTGCACCCTTACCCAAGTCCTCCTGCCCAGGCTGATTGAATTGTTTCTCCTCCTCCACTCTTCAGCCTCTTGCTTGCTATTCAAAATCACCTAGTTGTGTCATGATTTCTATGGTTTCTCAGTCAGCTTCTTTTTTTCCAGTCTTCTGTGCAGCAGAAGAACCAAGTCAGTTCAGCAGAAGCAAGCACACCACACACAGTGAAACTACGTGGTGCCCCTTTGAATATCACTGAGGTAAGCTTGGTTCCCGAGCTGAGAATTCCCAGCTTGTAACTCAGCAAGGTCTTTGTAGAGGCTGTGTCTTCACTTGGTTGAACTGTGCTGAGGATTTTATGGGCAGTTGGGGAAGCTTTTTTACCTGGCTTTGTGCAGAAATACTGTACAGGTACTGCTCCAAAAGTAATGCCTCCTGTTTTTTTTATGTTGGCCGGTGACATCAGAAGTGGATGTTGGTGTGGCACTAAGAGTTGGCCTTTCCCACCAATATTGCTTTACATTTTGTTGCTGTGCAACAGATGGCAGCAGAGAGACAAAATGGTATCTGACATGGAAGTGCATATGAAGCAAAGATGAGGAGCTGAGTTTCTCATTGTGAAAAAAATTTTGCTCGTTTACATCTGTCAATGCTTGCTGAACATTGATGGAGACCAAACAGTGGATGTGAGCACAGTGAGGGGTGAGTGCTTTGTTTCAGCAGTGGCAACAGTGACTCTGGGTTACCTCCTCTGGTGCAGATTTTTACAAGCACAGCGTCCAGGCTCCTGTTCACTGCTGGTGAAAATACAGAGCTAATGGTAGTGACTATGTTGAAAAATAATATTTTCTGTCTCTATCAGATAATATTACCATGCTCTTTGTATCTACTGTAGCTTTCATGGAAATAAATAGGATGCATTACTTTTAGAGTAAGTAGGGTAGTGTTTTTATGGTGCTTCTTTAAGAAAAGGTTGTCTGATGCCCGCTTTCTGTATCCAATAGCTCATTTAAGCAATTCTTATTCTTTCTGCAGCAAAAGATTCGAGAATTCTTCTCACCTCTGAAGCCAGTGGCAATCCGGATAGGAAAAAATGCCCAGAGGAAAAATACAGGTAATGTGTATTTGTGGAAGAGGGTTGGCTCTATGAGTCAGATGATCTCTCAGTCACACCTTTGCTCTTTCCATCTGTAGTTCTACATTACTGGCCTGTGTCCCAATTCTTATTGACCTTTCTGTGACTTTGCAGCTCACCTGCCCTAGTTGCTGGCCATAGGATGCTGTGGACGGAGTAATGTTGGCTGTACTCCCTTAGGGTATTGCAGCAGCATCACAGTAGCAGGAGCCTTTTCTTTGGTTTGTCTTTGAAGCTTTCCTAAACTTCCCAAACCATGCCAAGGAAAGGCCCCTTCCTCTGGGAAAAGCTGCTGCTGCAGATCTACCTTTAGCCAAGGTGCTCTCCTGGCTGGCTGTGACTACTGGAAGTACCTATCAGAAGGTGCAGGTCCTTAGAGCTGGCAGGGAACTTAGTTATATGCTTTCCTTTCATAGTCTAGAAGCAGATGCACCATTTCTTTGCTCTTGATGGCACCTGTGGAAAGCCTACTTCAGCTGTTAAGACAGGCTTGTTCAGTTTGTACACAGAGAGTGAAGTATTAAGAGGCAGCCTTCCAGTCTGCTACAGCCATTTTCAGGCTGGATTGAAAATTTAATGGGAGCTGAATGCCTTATCTGTAGGAATCTATATTTTAAAAAGCCTGATTCACCCTTAATTAGCCTATTAGTGACTGTGTTTCCTCGCATGATGCTCAGCTGAACCTTTGCTTCCTCCAAGGTTATATCTTTGTTGATTTGAAGAGTGAGGCAGAAGTGCAAAGGGCCTTGAAGCAGAAAAAAGAATACATAGGTAAGTGCTGTTTGTTCCTTCTTGTTCTGATGTCAGTGACAGAGTACTCAGGTGTTAAAGTGCTCCCTGTGAAAGAATCTCCCATTGCTTTAGTTTTTTCCAGGCAAATGCTGGGGGAGGTTTCTTCTGCACAGCTGCTGTGGGATAACCAGTTGCCATGTAAGTGCCATCAGGAGCAGCTTAGATTGGCTGACCTATGTGTGTTACTCTTTGGCTCTTGATATTTGTTATGTGCCCAATATGTAGCTTGTTTTTGGTTTAAAAAAAAAAAAAATACTGTAAAAATCAAGTTGGGATAGTGCAGGGGATTTGTACAAATGATTCTCCAAGCCTGCATTTGAAACCCATTCTTAGTGAAGTCCTTAGTGAAGCTACTTATACTTGGAAAAAATCCCATGTAGGATGGGAACATAGACTTAGAAGCCTGTGGATGAGGTTGACAGAATCAGAAGGATTGAAGCTGTCTGAAGGGAAAGGAGTCTGAAGATGACTAGCAGACATTCTGCTAATCCCTTGAATCTGTCATTCTTTTATTTAATCTGACAGAATTCTACTCAGTTCTTTTGAATTGTGATTGCTTTTGTCACTGTTGTAAGCCTAGACTCTTAACACATTGGTATTGATAGCCCATGGCCTCAGGAAGCATCTAATGTGCCTGTGTATGTTTGTTGACTAGGTGGGCGATACATTGAGGTATCCCGATGTGAGAATACCCCAAAAGAAACTGTTACAGCAAAAACTCATGACCAGCCTTGGCAACGAATTAAGAGGGATGATGAGGAAGAGGAAGACTTATCTGAATCAGGGAGACTCTTTGTCAGAAATCTTCCTTTTACTAGCACTGAGGAAGACTTGGAGAAGATCTTTTCCAAGTATGGTACGTACTTGCTGTAGTACTGGGACTTGCAATGCTGTGTCTCCTTGCAAGCAGAGGTTTTCTGGGTGGGAATGGACATACGTATCTGTGCATCTCACACCTCTCAGACATAGACTCAAATCATCTTCACTGCCGGTGTGACAGCATGCAGCTGCTTGGTATTGAAACTGATGCTGTACCACTTAGCTCAGAGTATATTGTATATGCATCTGCCCTCATGCCTCATATCTTTAATCCAGCAGTTGAAACCATGTGTGCTACAACATATCCAGACTTGGATGCCATTGCTGGGCCCTCCTTGTTGGTCTACAGCTAGTGGCTCCTCACCCAGACTCATCACACACCTTCCTGCAGCGTTCAGAGCTGCTCTTCTCTCTCTGGCTCCTTTCCTAGCTGTGACCAAGGGGGATACCTGTTCAGAGTGCTGCTGGGGAGTGTGGTGGCTGTGTAAGTGATCTCTCACAGAAAGGCCTTTTCTCTTGCAGGGCCCCTCTCAGAGATCCATTTCCCTGTTGACAGACTGACAAAGAAACCCAAAGGATTTGCTTTTATCACCTACATGATTCCTGAACATGCAGTGAAGGCCTATGCAGAAATGGATGGGCAGGTGTTCCAGGTACAGTGACTTGAGTCTCATATGCTATCAGCCTAAGTGCTAAAGGTGGTTATTAGTGAAGTGGACAGGTGTTTGCTCCTATGTGCTGCTGAGCAGAATTCCTCTAGGTGCTAAGAGGTAGAGTCAATTCTGCTTTACTATCTGGGAACACCACTGCCTCTGGCAAAGCAGTCTGGTTTGAATAGTTTCACAGATACTGAGGTCTGAGTCTGTCTGTCATGCTTTGTATGGTTACTCTTAGCTGCAGCATGCCTTCTCTAGGAAGGAAGATTACCTACTTCCACCTAGTTCACTTGACTAAGAGAAATGTCTGAAAGTTTCTTTCCTCTGCTTAGTTCATGAACTTCTGAGAATTATTTCAGAGCTTCAGATCAGTATTTATAAATATCTAAAGTGCGTGTCAGTTGGATGAGGGCAGACTCTTTTCAGTGGTGTGTAGTGGTAAGACGTGGAGCAAGTGCCAAAAACTGAGTGATAGGAATTTTCACACAAAGAACTTCTTTACAGTGGTGGCAGAGCACTGGAGCAGGCTGCCCAGAGAGGTTGTGGAGTCTCCCTCTTTGGAGATATTCAAGACCCATCTGGACACTTACCTGTGCGACCTACTATAGGAAACCTGCTTTAGCAGAGAGGTTGGACTCGAAGATCCTTAGAAATCTCTTCCAACCACTGCAGTTCTGTGATTCTGAATTTTGTCTTTTCTTCTAGGGCAGAATGATACATCTTTTACCCTCTACAATCAAAAAAGAAAAAATTGAAGATGTTGATGCAGAAGAATCTTCCTCCTACAAAAAGCAGAAGGAGGCCAAGGACAAAGCCAGCAGTGCCAGGTATGGAGGTGTCTTGTAGCAGGGTGAGACAACACAACCTGCCAAATTACCAGATGGCCAGAATGCGTCTTTGTAGGGGCTGTATAGATTACCAAAGTCAGTAGAGAATTTGTTATGCAGCGTTCTGTTTCCTTTACCTCTTACCTACTTAATCCCTCTTTCCAAGTAGCTCTAGTAATTCAGCAAATAGCATATACAGAAAGAAACGTGGTTTTCATTGGCTTTGTGTATGAATTTCTCTGGTGTCTAATAAAAACTGATCTCATGTTGTAACTCTTCAGGGTAGTGGCTACAAATCAGTTACTTCTTTCACTCAGTCACCTGTATTCTAAAACTTTCAGGAGTTATCTTTCTAACAGATTGGTTTGAAAGTTGACAATATTTTCAGACCTTACGGGCAAGGAATGCAACTTTCCTCGCACAGGATTTGTGATTTTAGGAAACCACATGGAAAAAAAAAAACACGTTCCTCTGAGCCAGCTTCCAGCTATAACTGCATAGCTGTGGCCACTCACCTGCTAGGGAAGAAGAGCTAAAGTGCCAGCATTGCTGCCTTTGTTTGCTTACCAGTCATGTCTCTCATCCTGTCCATTCTCTAAGGATGTTCTACTGTTATTTCCCTCCATCTTATTCTTGTTACTAGTGGTGGCCTTGACAGCTCTTCTTTTCCAGGACCAGTGAACAGAGAGATGGCAGTGGAAGAAAAAACTGCAAGATTTGAATCTGTCTCTTTCTCTTTCCAGCTCTCACAATTGGAATACATTGTTTGTGGGGACAAATGCTGTGGCTGATGCTATTGCTCAGAAATACAATGCTTCCAAAAGCCAAGTGCTGGATCATGTGAGTTGGGTTACTGATTAAATGGGGTGGGGGACCATTTTCTGACCTCTTTGCTCATGGCTAATGCCTGCCTGGTCATTTTGCCCAGCAAAAGCTGCTGCACAATCATAAGCTCCACACAGACTGAAAGATCAGTGGTCCTGAAGCCTGTCTGTGAGTGACAGTCTCTGAAACTATAAGTCAAAACGACACTCCTATCCCTGCTCTTTTCCTTCTTGTTAGGCTTTTCTGTGGCTGAAGTTTGTATTTGCACGTGACTAAAAGTTGATGGGAATTCACAGACTAAAATTTAAGATCACCTCACTTTCCTTGAGAAGTTCTCTAACTCCAACAGCAAAACTCCCAGCAGCTTCAGAGGAACTGGAGCATTTTATCTTCAGGTTCTCTGCCAAATTCCTGTTGCTTCTAAGAGCAGCAGGAACAAGTGATCAGCAAGTTCCTGGACCAGGCCCTTTGCTTCCATTTTGAACACTTAACACATTGTTGACTGTTACTCATGCCTGCAGGAGAGTAAAGACAGCGTGGCAGTGAGGGTTGCTCTGGGAGAAACCGAGCTGGTCCAGGAAATCCGACGGTTCCTCATTGAAAATGGAGTTAGCCTGGATTCCTTCAGTCAGGTGAGATGCCTGCCATGAGGCTGCAGAGCGAGCTTGGTTTTTCTGCCCAGTCCTGACATCCTAAGCTCTCTTTAAGATTTTTAATTAACGCTCTGCATTGTGCAGGATTGAACTATTAAAACAGTTTTGAATTGTTCTGAACTCTTACAAATGAAGTTGTGCTTGGGATAGTTGAAGTATATGCTATAGTGTGACAACACGTTAGTAGCAGAGATCAAGTCCTGTGTCTGTAGCAGGATGCAGCTGGAACTGAAATCTGCATGTGAGAATTTGTATAATGGAGTTTGTACTGGGGCATGCATCTTTTCAGAAGAAATCCTTTGCTAAGAGGTTGTTGGCACTTCTGTATCCTGGAAAGGTGTGACATGGCATGAGAGAGCACATTGTGTTGAAAATGAAATCTTCAGTTAGTAAGAGATTGGTTTTTGCTTTCTGAAGTCCCATGTCCTCTTTCTCCTCTTCTCCCACTGAACGTGTCAGGCTGCTGGTGAGCGGAGTAAAACTGTGATCCTGGTTAAGAACCTCCCAGCCACCACAAGCACAGCAGAGCTGGAGGCTGTCTTCGGCAAACATGGCAGCCTGGGCCGGGTGCTGCTCCCAGCTGGAGGCATCACAGCCATTGTGGAATTCCTGGAGCCAACCGAGGCCAAACAAGCATTCACTAAGCTGGCCTACTCCAAGGTGAGTGTAGCCTTGGGAGTATGCAACTGCCTGCAGGAAGTTGGCTAATTGTGAAGCTCCTGGAAAGAGTGCAAGCTGAAATGTGACATAAAGATGGTTTTTGAGGGAAGTGAGCTAACAGCATTCACAGAATGGCCCAGGTTGGAAGGGACATCAAGGATCATGAATCTCCAACCCCCCTGCCACACGCAGGGCCACCAACCTCCCCATTTAATACTAGACCAGGCTGCCCAGGGCTCCATCCAATCTGGTCTTGAGCACCTGCAGAGATGGGGCATTCACAATCTCTTGGGCAGCCTGTTCCAGTGCCTCACTACTCTTTCTGTAAAGAACTTCCCCGACATCCAACCTAAATTTTCCCTCCCTCAACTTAAAACCATTTCCAGAAAAAAAACTTTAAAACCATAGCATTACTGTGTTACTCCCTCATTCTTAGATTTAGGAAGATGCCTGGTGCATCCATGTGCTGCAGTAGCTGAATAGGACTCTCAACTTGCAAAGAAATAAAAATTAAAAAAAAAAAAAAAAAAAGCTGGAGAAATAGAGCTGTGACAAGTGTCCAAAAACCTTCTGTGGCCTGGGAGAGGGTTTCTGATGCCCTTTGCTATGGAGGAGTTGGAAGCCTGGAGCTCTCCTTGGGAACCCTTTCCTAGCTGTGGCCTTCCTTGTTCCTTGTCCTCTGGTTTCCATAGACTTGTCCTGTATGAGGTTGGATACTGACTCACTTCTCCAGTGAAAGATGGTTGAGCCAAACAAAGATGCTGCATAGCTTTTCTTTTTTCCATAACGCAGTGTTTGAGGGGAAAATGGAGCTGAAAGCAGACTTTTCTTCAGGCCTTAACTTTTGCTCTTCACATCTCTCTTATGTTCTCTCCACAGTTTCACTCTGTGCCATTGTATCTGGAATGGGCTCCAATGGGTGTCTTCTCCAGCCCAGCCCTTCAGAAAAAAAACATAGAAGCTCTGGAGAAGGAGGAAAAAGAAAGGCTGGTACCTGGTAAGAGCTTTAACTGTGTCAGAGGAATCTGTCTTTGTTTCCACGCTCCTTTCCATGTAAAGTAGCAATGCTGATGTTCCTGAACTTTTTGATGCACTGGAACAGGTTGCCCAGAGAAGTTGTGTGGGTACCCTGGTGGCATTCAGGAGCAAGCTGGGGGCCTTGGGCAGCACAATCTGATGGGTGACAACCACCCAAGGCAGGACAGTTGCAACTGGATGAGCTTTAAGGTCCTTTCCAACTGTAATGGCAGCAGGACCAGTGCAATGAGGTGTTACAAAAAAAAGTTTCTAACCTGCCTCTGAAGATCTAGGCTTGCAGAAAGACTCCACAAAGGAGGAATCTCTGGTAAGATCCTCTGCTAGTGGCAGTCAGCCCTTAAATGAGGTCTACAAGAGGTGCAGCCAGGCTTCCCCTCCTTCCAGTCACACAGCTGAATTGCCTTCACCTGTGCTTTCAGGGCTGACTCAGTCTTTTCTCCAGGTGCTCAGTCAGTGGTTCAGGCTGTTAATCAGCAGCTCCTATACACTAACCTAAGCTATTCTGTAACTTTGGTACAGAACCAGCCTCATGACATTCTCTACGTGGTTCTTAGGGTCACTTAACTGTGCAGTGTGGTTATTGATGTTCCCACACAAGTTCTGGGCTCAGTCCTGTCTCACTCCTTGCCCCTTTAATGAGATGTGAAGAGTGTGGTACTGCCCACAGTACACCAATCCAATTTGGATTGGAGCTGATGCTCTGGACAAGGGCAGGAAATTTTTGGTCCGTTTTGCTCTTGACAGCAGCCACTGGGAGCTGTAGCTACTCTGTAGGCCAACACTAACCCCCTGAGTGCGTGTGGTCACATGCTCTGCAAGGGCACCCTCCTTGTGCAAGAGCACCTGAGCAACTGGCTTGCACAGCAACGGGAGGATCTGGCAGCTGACTTGCCAGTGGCAGGCTTCAAGTCTCTATTCGTCTTTCTCTGTTCCTCTTGCATCAGTCCCTGCTGTGTGCTTTGTCTGGATGATTTTCCACTGCTGCAAGGGCAGAGCCTTCCCTCCACTGGTAACTGTCATTCTCCACATCCTAGGGGCTGTAAACATTAATTCTCACCTGTATATTTAAAACCTTTCAAGACTTTTAAAAAAAAAAAAAAAAAGAAAAGAAAAGGTTGGCTTTATATAGGTTTGTTTCACTGAAAGCTATTTCAGGACTGAGATTTTGGGAGGGAGGAGAAAAGCTGATGAAAAGCCTCTTCCTGGGCTGCTGTTCTTCCTGGGCTGCTGTTGTGCACGTGGGTCACAGGGGATGGCTGTATGGCTGGAGCCCGAAGGAGCTGGGGGGGGCTGCTTTATCTTCCTGTAACCGAGACCCTCACCTCAAGATAAAGGGCTTTAAGCACAGGAGCTCCTGGAAGGCTGTTCAGGGCTGATAATGGTCTTTTCTGCCAGCCTCTGGAGCTCTGTATCTAGGAAAGGGGAGGGAGAGGATGTGCAACTCATCGCTTCGTTCACAAAAGGGCTTTGGGCGGCAGCACATGGCCTCTTATTGTGCCAGCCACAGATGGAGGCACCTTTTCCTCCTGCCCTGTCTCACTAAATCTCTTCCCTCCCCTTCTTCAAACGACTTATCTTTAAAGGCTTGTTTTTTCCATACTGTGTTGGCAAACACCCTGTGGGTTGGGACAAGGAGGTTTTGACCACCCGACTGGGAAGGCTTGGGCTGTGTGGTGCCAGGGGTAGGGAGGCCAACTGGATGGAGCCCTGTGGGGGAAGTTGGCTCTGGAGGTAGAGCTGAGAAGTGTCTAAGCACCCCTGGCTCCATGCAGGTTCTCTCATACCAAATGAGAGAGCACTAAGCCTAGAAAAATCATTGAGGGGATGGTAGTAATGCCAGAGGGAGCTGCTTAGCTTGGTCCCCTTGAGCACAGCAGCAGCTATGCTGTTAGGGGCTGAAGTTGGTATGGAAAACTAGTTGTCTAGGAAGGGAAGAAGTTGGAAAGCCAGTGGATGACAGCTAGTGTGTCTAACAACAGCCTTCATGTGCTGATGGGGAAGTTGTGGTTTCACACCCTATAAGTATGTATTATCAAGAGATGAGGTGTTAGATCACTGCAGAATTGTATTTAAGCAAGTCCAGGGCTCCTTGCCTAATTCAGTAGGTGTCTGGCAAGGATTGATGTGGGGGTGTTTGAAGGCTGAGGAGCAGGTTTACAGACTTTCTACATTCAAAGGATTTTGTTTCTACAGGGACTTGTTCACATGTGTGTGCTGAGTCTGCCTCAGTCTCTGTTCACCCAGTAGAGGAGTGGTCTGATCTTGCTGAAGCAGTGACTGTCAGCTGGGGCAGAGGACGAGCTCACCCCAGATTTGTCTTTGTTGTGTCTTACAGCATTAAGTTTTCTCTTTTTGTATCAGATGGTGACATAACTATAAAGGGCTCAGAGGAAACATCAGCACGGGATGAGGAAGAAGATGAAGAGGAAGATGAGGAAGAGAGCATTCCAGGGTGTACCTTGTTCATCAAGAACCTCAACTTTACCACCACAGAAGTCACGCTGAAGGAGGTAAGCCATAAGCAAGGAGTGGAGTCTGGGTTTTGCTTAGTATAGGCAGGCTGCTCTGATGGAATAGGAACAGGTTGAGACCACACTGGGCCCCTTGTTGCTGGAAGGCCCCTACTCATTGCATGGCCTCGAAGAAAGGGCTCACCTGTGTTGTAGAGTGCAGGGGGAAAGTTGTTCTCCACCTCTAATGTGCTAAAGATATGGTGTTGAAAGGAGTTAAATTGTCAATGGCATGGTCTTAATGGTACATGAGGGAGCACTGTGAGTAATGGGGCAGGAAAACTCCACTTTTGAGTTTTAGGCTTCAATTAGACAAACATATCTGAAACAGTTTTGATGGATTTGAATTCTACCTTGGGACAGGTGGAGGCAGTAGGAAATCTTTTAAGACTCTTCGTTTCCCATTCTTCTCCTTGGAATTAGCACTTGTGCAGCTGTAATACTGCATGACGTGCTAAGGCAATAAATGATTATTTCACTGACATGTGCTTAAATTTTGTGCCAGTATGGAGCTGTCTGTGCTACTTTACCTCAGCAAAGCACTTAGGGGAGATTGTAGCATTTCTAAAACCACATAGAATATTAATAATGAGGCTGGGAAAAAACAGCTGGAAGTTCTCACCTCTGCCACTCTTTGTAGCCTTGCGACGTGCCATATTTCATGGTCCAAGAATGGTGGTGGAATGTCCATCCTGGACCTGTGCTGCTCCATCTTGGGATGGAGGTTCTGATATGGATTTGATCCAGCTGGCTGTGGGGACAAACATGTAATGTTCAGAGGACTGGGACTTTTTTTCTTTCTTTCTTTTTTCCTTCCTACGTTCCAGTTGCAGTTTTACAAGGGAATCATACAAATGTTGTGCCACTGTAGGACAGCCCATGCTGCCCTGCAGCACATCTCTTACAACTCTGGAAGGAGCTGTTTTCTCGGAGGCATCACAGGAGTTACCTGTAGTTGGGTCCCTGCCTGGGTGCGGACAGCTTGTAATCTGCTGTGGTCCCCCACAACAACCAGGGAGGTCAGCGGTTTCTGAGGAGTGGTGAAGGATTTCTGGGAACATCTGTGTTGATTTATTTACAAGTCTGTGTGTGTATTTGTGCAGAAATAATCTTGTAAGAGAAAAAGCAGCTGTACTGCCCGCTTGTCAGGTGTGCCTGGCGGGGAGGTAGGCTTGCAAACGTGCCTCTGGCTCTGAAAGAGTGCTGCACTGTCACTCAAACTGAGTTATAAGCCTCTGACAAAGGGTGTTGAATTCCTTGCAGACGTTCTCCAAAGTGGGAGCTGTGAAGAGCTGCACAATATCCAAGAAGAAAGACAAAGCAGGTACTCTAGATGTTACTGTTCAATTCCTTCCCGCAGCTGGTTGCTGAGGGCTCAGGTGTGGCATTGCGTTAGCATTCATCTGGATGAGCATTTGTTATGTTTGCATTGATGAAATCTTCAGTGTTTCTAGAAGTGTGCCTGTTGAAATGGCTGAAAACAGCAGCCAAAAACACACTGGAGTTCAGTCTAGAAGGTTAAGCTGAATTGTGGAATTTGTGGAGATGTGGCCTTCTCTTGAGATCAGGACAGAGAAGCCAAATCCTTCAGGATCATAGAGCAGGATGCAAGTTGAAAGGGACCAGTGCACTTAAATGATTGAACATGTGCACAACAGCAGCCACAGTCTTCAAGGGTGCTTGGATGAGTACTGTACTGAGCGAGCGTTGTTTGCTGCCTGCACTGATCCCAGCAGGATCTCTGCCTACCTCCCATGGGGTTGGACAGGAAGGGGATTGCATAAGGCAAGCATGGCTGGATGGGCTGCATCTTTTCAGATTTTAGGCTAGGGATTGCACAGCTCTGTGGGATTTTGCCTTGGGGAATAACTCCCTAGGCATCCTTTTGCATGGGATGCTTAAAAACTCTGATTCACTGAAAGAAAAAGAATAAAGTCAGTTCTTCAGTGCTGCTGATGTGTCTGGCATGCTCATGACTAGACAGCAGCATTTGAATCTGGTCTGAGCTCATACCGCCTACCAGAACTATTGGTTTCTGTTGCTGCAGGGTGATCTCAGTATCCTGCTGCCTCTCAAGTTCAGAAGTTAGAAATTTGGTGATGTGTTTTTGCTTGTGGATTTTTCCTTTCCTCTCCTAGCTTTATTTATGGGCTTGGAAATTGCAACTGCCTTTCCAGGTTCACAGAAGCATATTCTGCTTTTTGCCTGCATCACAGATGTTCTGTCTCTCAAATGTTGGGCTTTTGTTTTGTTGTAGTGGGAAATCATCCCATTACTAGCACATGACAGTTTGCATTTAAACAGATCTCAAATGCTTGATTCCCAGCAGTGGTCATTAAGTGCCTATTTGCTGTGTGTTAACCAAAACCAATTTCTGAATGGGTTGCAGATTAGAAAATCCTCATCTGGGGACCAGACTGCAACCTGCATATTTCTTTCCCACAGCAAAAGTCACACTTATGTCTGGGCTGTTTACAAATTTCCCCAGCGAAGGTCTTGTTTCGTACACGAGGGAAATGTCCTGTGTATAAGCAGAGGCTTGTGTATCTATAATAGGATCAGTCACCCTGACTACAAACTTCGGTTGTTCTATAGGACATACAGTTATTGTTTTATTTATGGAGGCTGTGCTGAAATCTCACAGAGCTAAAAATCAGTTTGGCATACAATGCCATCTCTGATATCAGCATCAAAACAAGCTCTTCAAACTGAGCATCCATTTTAGAGCAGTGTTTTGTTCCATGCAAGCTGGCAAGGAGTGCTAATGAGGAATATGACAGACAGGGCATGGACAGGCCAGCCCCTTCTTTGGTGTATTAGTTTTTGCTCCCCCTTTGTCCCCCCCCAGTTCTAACAGTCAGAGATTCAGAGAATTTTTGTGCTCACAGTTGTCCCTGGATCCTGTTGGGCACTGCAGTTAATGGTATGAATCCATGTAATGCTGTGGCAGTGTTAGTAGTTAGTATGCAACAGCACTTTCTTCTGGTTTATTTTTATATGTACTTTTTAGTATCCTTGTTTCCTGCTATCATAACAATTTTCCTTTCTCATCTTATAGGCACTTTGCTTTCCATGGGCTTTGGATTTGTGGAGTACAAGAAGCCAGAGAGCGCTCAGAAAGCCTTGCGACGGCTCCAGGTAAGCTGAGGTGTTGCTGGGCCAGGTTTATTTCCAGAGATAGTGGGCAATGGTGTAGATAAACTGTGAGGTTCAAAATTTAGTTGAGGAAGAGGGGTATGTACCCTCCTCCTACAAGTACTTAGAAGGGTATTTCGTACCAACACCTGAAGGAAACCTACGAGAAAGCAGGAGGGGGACACTATCAAGGAATGTCATGATAAGACAAGAGATAATAGCTTTAAAATAAAGAAAAAGGATCTAGATAACATATTAGGAAGAAGTTCTTTACTCAGAGGGTGCTGAGTCACTGGAACAGATTGCCCAGAGATGCCGCAGATGCCTCATCCCTGTGGTGTCCAAGGTTGGATAGGGCCCTCAGCAGCCTGATCTGGTGGGAGGTGTTCCTGACCATGACAGAGGAGTTGGAACTAGATGCTTCAAGCTCCCTCCTAGCTCAAGCCGTTCTGTGGTTCTGTGCAAGGGAAATAGCTTGTACAGAAGAACGTTTACTAGCACTGATCCAATGCAGAGATGGCAGAAAATGTGGAGTTATTAAAATTCAACAAATTTATTCTGCAAGGTTTCCGTTGCAGTGGTGACCCGAGCCCCCCACAGAATAAATATAGCTTAGTATTTGGTGTTGTGTTCAGTTTCATCTTCTGTGACTCTGCCAGTGCTTCAGGTACTTATAGCCTCACACTTTCTCTGTCACACATGCCATAGGGCTTGGATGCTCTTCAAGGGAATAAGTCATTTCTGCTGCCACTTGAACAACACTCTAGTGTCTTAGTCCACATTACCTGGGTGATGCAGGCCAGGCAGCAGGAACGCTTCTTTTCTAGATAGACCTGGAGGAATTGCTCTGTGTATAATGGCCGTTTGCTCCATGACTGCAATCCACAGGTCTCACCTTCAACAGGTGGTGATTTTGCATTCCACAGCTGGTGTAGTCTTGAGATAGATGGGCGTTCTGCATTGTTTTGAACAGCAGAATCCTGGGGTGTAAGAGTAAGCAGGACAATGGAGATTTTGCAGAGGGAGTGGGCGGCAGGGCTCCAGGTTCCCAGCATAAAGCCTTTGCATGTCCTCTGCTGTTTTAGAACTGATTAGGCAAGAGGCTGCTTGTTTTCTGTGCTTTAATGTGTGGGTAGCAGGAGACAGAAGACTTTCCGTCTTGGCTACTGACAGCAAGTGAGTCATCCTTGGCTCATTCCAGAACAAGCAGTAAGGTGCTCCCTGCCTTGAAGAGTTTGCAGTCCAGAAGAAGAACCAGTAGCCCAGGTCAGGGAAGTGACTTGCCTTTGCCAGGTTAGTGGCAGAGCTGAGGCCAATGGGCAGACATCAGGGTGCTGGCTGCTTCCTCAGTTAGTCAGACTGTCTCCAACTTCATATCAGAACCTTGCCTTGTATCAATGGGGAAGAACTTTAGTTAGGAGAAGGGAAGGAATATATGGGAAAGAACAAAGATGTGAAATGTGAAGATTGTGCTGGAACAGCTGCCCAGAGAGGTTGTGGATGCCCCGTCCCTGGAGGTGTTCAAGGCCAGATTGGATGGGGCCCTGGGCAGCCTGGTCTAGCACTGAATGTGGAGGTTGGTGGCCCTGCATGTGGCAGGGGGGTTGGAGATTCATGATTCTTGATGTCCCTTCCAACCCTGGCTATTCTGTGATTCTGTGAAATGCTGTGCTTGTAGCCTGGAAACCTGAATGCTGTTGTGGCTCATGTTTGTTTGTTTTCATTTAAACTTTTAGGGCTGCATTGTAGATGGCCATAAGCTGGAAGTCAAAATCTCTGAGAGAGCTGTCAGGTAAAGCTGTCTTTCTTCTGTAGCATGGTTACATTTAGTTTGTGATAGATCTTAGTAGGTTCTTCATTTCTAAGCTAGTATGTCTTCTTCATAAGGATGTGTGGCCAGCAGTGCTTTTGCTGTCTGACACATCAGCCTTTGTTGCACACTGCGTGGAGTCACTTTAGTCAGTACTTGGAAAGGAAGAAGGAAAAAAAACGAGAAGAAAAAAAAAGCAGATGTGAAGGTGGTTGCTTGCTAAGAGACTGACTTCCAAGTGAAAACTTGAGCAGCATACACTGATGGGGTGCCAAAAGTGGGTCCAAGGTGAGACCAGGCACGTGATACTTGTTTCATATTTAAGGAAAAGGCTTCTCTGAAAAGTGCCTAAGGTTCTTTTGGTGGGGAGCCTCAGAGGCAGACCTTTCTGTGGAGTTACATTTCCTGATGTCATATAAAGAAGGTGACTGACTCAGGTTTATAGCTTTACTGTTGAAATCTATGACTCATGTCCACTGGGATTTTGATGATCTGTACCTATGAAGTTAAAAAAAAAAAAAAATAAACCTAGTGCTTGAAGGTGATTACTGGCACCCTAAAAACTGTCTTGTAGACACTTTGGAAATGCTGTGAGAAGAGGTGTCTCTTAAATGGCATAATTCCTTTGCAAATCTGGTACCTCGGGCCCAGAAGGCTGACAGTTCACTGTCTGCACTCCGCATTTTGTTTGTTTTTTTTTTCTATAAAGCATTCATACCCATTCTGGATTTTAAAATCCAGCCTGTAATGTAGATTGCTTTACTCTAAGTTGCTGTTTTTTAATACTAGGTAATTTTTTATCTTGTTCAAATGCAACACAACCTGAGTAAAATAATTTAGCAATGTATTTTAGTTTTGTTTACTGTTTTCTAAGTCAGTAGGAAAAAGAATGAACATTAGCTTGCATTAGACTACTTGTTTAAATATGTGAAAATGGCTCATCACCTGATACTGAATAGACAACATTTGGAGTCAGAAGACAAGTTGGTGGCAGATGTGAGTACAAGCCTGCTGCCTGAACTCCATTGTGGCTGCACTCAGTAAGCCAGAAGCTCTGATTTTAAATTTGGGATTTAAATTACTTGCATTCATTCCTTCTCTGTGCAGCCAGTGAAATATCCATTGTCACCAGTATGAAGCCAGCAAGGATGTCATTGTTAGCTAGCTGGCTAATTCTGATGGCTGGCATTCAAGCAGACAACATGCCCTGGGCATGTTGATCTGCGGTGCCCCTTACCTGCCCTGTATGTTCACCTGACAGGCCTGCTGTGAAGTCCTCCCGAAAGAAGCAGACGATCAAGAAGCAGAAGACTTCCAAGATCCTAGTTCGAAACATCCCATTCCAGGCCACCATCAGGGAGATCAGGGAGCTCTTCAGGTAGGAAAGCATTCTCTGTTGGGTCTGGGCAATGCCCTGCTCAGGAGCCAGCAAGGTTTTAATGCAGGATCTTGCTGTTGGATTGTAATGATGAATTTTGACTTCTTTATGGGAGCAAGTGAACTTGTAATGATGTAAAAATGATGTAACTGCTTTTTCTGCTATAGTTATGCTGTTTGTGAGACAGATGACTATGCCAGAGTTTTGGCTCAAGTGCTCTGATCTGCCACAGCTGGGTGGCCCATCACTCTGCAGTAGGCATGCACAGAGGATGGACATCTCCCCACATCCAACAGATGACACAGCCTTGGATATTTCTTTTCCCTCTTGTTTGTAAGGCTCGCAGCAGCATTCCTGCTGCTTGGCACACCTGGCTGGGAGGAGCACTGAGAGTCACTGCAGACAGCTGGTGTGAGAGGTATCAGCTCGGGCTGGCTCCTTCTTCCATCTGCCCTGCACACACAATGCTGTAGCTCCTTCCCAGCCCGCAGGGAGCACATAAATCTGGCTCTGCCTTTGCCACACCTGGGTGTGTACCTGATGTGCTTGATGCTGTGCAACCCTGTGGCTGCAGGGATGTGAGGTATGCAACTTGTCAGAGTCCCTCCAGTGAAAAGTACCTCAAGCCCTACCTGAGCGATGAGTAGGGATTTCAGGATCCCAGCCTGCATTCTGCTATGTACTGGCTGCTCTCTTCTCTTCGTATTCTCAGCCCAGTTCTGCACACAAGGATACAATAAGCCTTGTAGTGTATTCCAGAAAAGAGTTGCAGCTGTGTAAAGTGCAGCTTATGTCATCTGCTGCTGCCAGGGTAAGAATCCGAGCGGTGGGCCCAGGCCATGCTCCCTGCTGTGCTGCTGGCTTACTGGAGGAAATCTGGGAGAATTGTTTTCCAGCCTCCGTCCATCCATTTTGCTGTCAGCAAGACCAAGGGCGACAGCATCCATCTGCAGGATGTGAAGTCCTGGATCAGGAGGAGGCTTTACAGTGGAGTTGGTGTTTGTCTCAGCAGCAGGCAGTGGTTCTGCCAGGTCGGGGCTGTGCTGTTCCTCAGCCTTGGAACCATTTTAACCCTGTGAAAGTTATCAGGCCATGCACCGAGAACTTGCCTTGCACAGAGCCGCAAGGCTTTGCTGGGAGCAAGGGAAGCTCCTTTCCCTATGTACCCCTCTATGAGCTGTGATGCTCTCCTGCCCTGACGGTGGTAAGAACAGTGGATAAGGACAGTAGGTCCATGCTGCTACAGCCTGTATTCTTGTAGGGTAGAGGAAAGCCTTGGTGGTGACAAAAGCTGTATGCTGCAATGCTGTTTTGGAGTGGGGTCTTTGGCTTTAAGTGGGTGCACACCATGACTCAGCCCAGACGTGTTCAGGAAGAGCGTGGTGTAAGGACTCATGTAGAAGAGCAAAAGGATTTTCGTGCTGTGCAGGTGTGGTCTGGATGCTTTTGTTTCAGCGTTGCCCTGAGAGCCCCAGTATAAACAAGGCCCAAAAAAGCCTGGGGCTTCCAGGGCAGCAGCGTGCTGAGGGAGCATGTTAGGCGCTGCTCATCCAGAACCCAGCAGTTGCAGAACCCAGTGGTTGCAGCCATGTCCCTCATAGCACCAGGACAAACAAAAGCCTGGAACCTATTTGCCTTTTTGGGTGCCGAGCTATGTTCATGGAGTGGGGAGAGTTGTGAACATCAAGAGAACAGACGAGTCCAGCAGAGAATGAGGGCTTTGCTGTGTGTTTTATTCTTCAGCCTTGTCTGACACCTGGGACTGGGGAGAAGCGGGGTGGCTGTGATTCACATGGCAGGGAGCACACAGCCTCCAGCAGCAGCGCTCTGGGGTGCACAAACATCCATTTTGTTTACCTGGACTCTGTGGAGGTGGGAGTTTGGTTCTCGAAACAACAGCGGATGGCTTGGGGGGGGGTCCACAATCCTCCCCACGCCCAGCCAGCCCTCCTGGCCTGCTGAAAGGCTGAAACCGAGCACAGCTGAGCACTGCCAAGTGCTTTGTCCTCTGAGACGGCTCTTTGACATCAGATGCCTGTGTTCTGGAGCTTCCTGTGTTTCTGTGTTCAGGAACCCGTCTGATTTTTGTTATTGATTTGAATTCGCAGACAATAGTTGGGCGGCGGAGGCGGCTCGGCCGGCAGGGCTGCAGGGGGCACTCTTAGCCTGCCCAGGAGAGCAGCCGGCTGTGCGTGGCACCGCCAGCCTGGGGACACGGGGATAGAGCTAGGGCACGGCCCCAGCACGGAGCCGAGCCGGGGACCCTGCAGGACTAGCTATTGTTTCACGTGCTCCAAAGCCCTGCAGCTGGTGTCTCTCAGCTTGCTCCCTTCTGTGCTTTTTTTTTTTTTTTTTTTTGCCTTTTCTCAATTGCTTTGGCAGGAAAAAATGCATGTGTTTTTACCCCCCAAACAAATATTTACATGTTTTGAGCTTTTTCGAAAAGCTCTCTTCATTTCTACATCTCTCACGGGTGGGTGTTAATGGTGCTGAAACAGCAAAGCAAGGGAGCTGGATGTTTTAAATAGCAAATTGCGAAGGCTTCTGTACACCACTCGGGATTTCCTGAGCTGGCAGTGCTACCCCACTTGCTTTTTAGTGTCACTGATTAAGGATCTGTGGCTCGAACGCTTAGACCTACCCAGCGCTGCTGCTCTCTTTCCAACAGCAGATGACAATAGGCGCTACTGCCTTCCTCCGATGCTGGCTGTGAGCAGGGCTGTGCTGCCGTGGGGCTCCGTGTGCCCAGCTCCATGCTGCCCATCCTGCCAGGGCAGCGCAGCTGTGCCTCATGGAGGTGTGCAGTGCTGCTGTAGAGCTCTGCCCTCCCATCCCCGGGTGCTGCCCTCTGCCATCCATCGGGGCTGGTTTTGTGAGATCTGATGGATGTTATTTTCTCCAGCGGGAGAAATGCTTTTCAATTATAGGGGCAGCTTTTGGGCTAGGTGTGAAGATTTAGCTTTTGTGGGTGTGTTTTTTCCCCATTTTTGTTCTTTATTAGATTCTACTGTTATCTTCACTACCTGGAAAAATAACAAAAGACAAATGGTCCTTCGTTCTTCCAAAAGAGCCATAGTTAGGGGGGAGAGACAAAGGCATTGATATCCCATGAAGACTGCTAATTTTTGCTACCAAATTGGGGGGCTTTTATGGTGTGACTTTTTTTTTTTTTTTTTTTTTTTTTTCCAAAAGGAGCTCGAGATGTGGCAGGCTGAATTGGAGATCTGTGAAGAGCCACATTTTCACAGATTGGAGCTCTGGCAATTTCTGAAAATTAGTCTCCTTTAAAATCTATCACATTAGATCCATACAACCTTCATTGGATGTTTCAATTAACTGTTTGTTTCACAGCGTACTCTGCCATCCTCCTTCCCCCCACCTGCACCAACTTTCATGGATATCAAAGACACAGCTGATTTGCAGCTTGCCCATATCATTTCAAGGAGACACATGTTTTATTTTTGCCAAAAAGGATGTGGTTCGATTTGGAAAGAGTGTCTTACAGATCTCTGCCCCATTGAATGCTACCCGAGATATAGATGGAGACAGAGAGCCTGCCTAGAGTTGGACGTTCCTGCTGCTTTTGCCACCAAAGGAACTGCATCTTAAGTTGCATGTTCTGAGGCTGGCACTGTTTCATTTTAATTTCTTTGCAAAATATACCTGAAAGTATGGAGAAGGGTCCTAAAATTGCCATGACCTCTGCTTCCAGCCCTCCTCTGCCAATTGGGCACCAAAAATTCTGAGGACTGCTCAAGATGAGGTGTCAGGGCAGTTCCTGATTTTCTCCATCCTAACAAAGATGTGGCAGTTAATTCATCTGGCAAAACAAGTGCCTGAGCCTGATGAGGAGGAAGCAGATCTCTTCCCTCTGACAGAGGGCAGAAGTGAGAGCAGTGGTGGGATGGGGCATCAGAGTGAGAGCTCTGCTAGGAGAAGGAACATCTCTGAAGAGAGATGCAATGGATAAACTGGCAGGGAATTTTTTTTTTAAAGGCAGTCTTTATGAAGTTAATTTTATAAGATGATGCCTTTCACTTCTTCTGACCTATTATAATAAAGTGTAGTTATCAGAATGGGCTTTTCATTTCCCATTATGAAGGACACGATGGTATAATGAGTCCGTCTGCCAGACACACTTGCTGTTCACACCTTTCTCCTAGTAATGGAGCCTACATGGCTGCAGACAATTTCTTCTTCCTGGAGTAACGAGTAACATTGCCCTGTTGAAGCTGTGGAAATCTTTGCTACTGAAAGGCAGACGAGGGAAGAAAAGAAAAAGAAGAGTGCCTTCATAAACTTGTGAGTTTGTTAAGCAACTGCTGGGCAGTATTAATTAGGATGCACAGTGGAAATGCCCCTGGGATGCATGGCGCTGCAAACATCACTCTCTGAGCTGTCCAGTGTCAGCTCATTCTGTGTGATATTTTGCTTTTAAAGCCCTAGATGTTGTACTAGAAAGGTTTCAAAATCCATTGCTCTTCCTCCTAGTTGCTTCTATTTCCATCTCAGTGACTTGAGGAGCAGAGGTGGGATTGCTAGCTGTGCAGGCGCTGAGTGGGCTGGACCTCACTACTGGGGCAGGAGAAGGGGAACTCATTTCCCCTTTGTAAGAAGGGCTGCGGGGAGCTGCTGGGCTTGTGCCCTGCTTGCCTGGACTGTGTATGTGAGCTGCATTTCTAGGCCATTGTATCAAGGTGGTCCAACAGTCAGCTTGCAGCTACAGCTGGTCTGAGGGACTTGTGCACTGGGGAGGAGGGGACAGGTGTTGTATAGTAACAAAACCAAAGTGAAACTCTTCCTATCCGGGGTTGGTTGCTGTTTGGAAGCCAGCAGCTCCTGCTGCCCCTGCAGCAAAAGAGCTGTTCCTCAGGCTGTTTCTGTCCAAGCAGAGCCTCGTGTTCCCTTCCATGACCTGGTGGGCAGGGGATTCCCTTGGTGCACTCAGATTGACAACCCCTTTTCTGGAGCAGTCTACAGCAGTGGGGAAAAAAGCTCAT